AAGAAAGAAAGAAAGAAAGAAATTTTTACTTCAGAATTTAGCATCGATATTTACTCGACCCAGGCTTCTTGTCACCCAATCCGGCCAATATGGCGGCTGGAGCTTTGCTTTAATACTCCAGATTTGATATGCTCTAAACTGCTCAGCATTAACATACCAGCATTGGTAAAATATTAAAGTCTTATAAACCCGCCTTACCTCTGCAGGGGCCATCACTTCCGATAAAGTATAAAGTTTTTTCATGTTATGGGATTTGCGTCCGCGACCGACATCTATTAAGTGACGAATCCTATTAAGCGAACGACCTCTGTTAAGCGATCGACCTTTATTAAGTGACCACCCATTTAAGGAAAGACCTCTATTAAGCGATCAACCTCTATTAAGTGACCACCAATAATAAGCGAACGACCTCTGTTAAGCGACCGACCTTTATTAATTGAACACCCATAATAAGCAAACGACCTCTGTTAAGCGATCGACCTTTATTAAGTGACCACCAATATTAAGCGAACGACCTCTGTTAAGCGACCAACCTCCATTAGGTATTCGATAAATCCATCATATACGGTGTAAGAAGACTGACATTTTCATACATTATGGGGTTCAAATGGAAAAAAAAATTTTTTTTGCCTATAATCAAATACCAAAATGGAAAACAAGAGTCAAGAAAAAAGCTTGTAAGGAAGGGCACTTTTGCCGCCTTAAAAGACTAGATTGGAGTTTAAGTGATACATTTAATTCATTTTTAACTTTTGAGGAAAGCTAACTAATCCAGTTCGCCATGTTTACTGTTTAGTTAACTGCTCTGGCTTTTAAACATATTTTTTAAAGTGAAGATTCTTTTGATAAAAGTCCATATTTTTTTGAAAGATGTAATGATTGGATCGAAAGAACGGACGGACGGACGGACGGACGGACGGACGGACGGACGGACGAGCGAATAAATAAAAAAAAATGAATAAGCGAATTAATGAAATAATGAATAAATAAATAATAAATGACGATGAATGTGAGTATGGTGATCAAATCATCCTTATCTTACTTTAAAACCACTGGCTAACAAACCTGTGGCCCTCGTTCCATAATGGAATTGGAATTTAGGAGTTGAATTGTACGGAGGGAGGAAAACGAAAGGACTCGGAAAATTATTCTCGAAACTAAAACGCAACTGCACGCACATATGATTGCGGTTTTGAGCATCGGTGGCGCATTAGATGACACGAAAATGCATAGAGCAGTTTTCGCATGACTGTGAAAAGCGCAGTGTCGTAAGCGTGCAGTGCCTTAACCGTGAGATTTTAGAATTTTAATTGGCTGATTTTTTTCTCGCGCAATGTGTTTGGTCTGACAGTGCCGTGACCTTGTCGTGACCGCGTCCGCGCCGTGTTTATGCCGTGTTCTGGGTATTCGATTGGATGGAGAATAATTTCTCGCG